AACCTGCTCACATGAGATAACCCACCTGTGGAAATTACATGCCGACATATTCCAACGCCGCTGCACTGGGTGCAATTACTACGAAATCAGTAGATCATCCTGAGTCCGAGCTCATTCACCAGCTGCACCAGTCCGTTTCACTCCTCATAGACGTCAACTAGAGGTGCGACAATACATTCCAATCCAAAGTTATGTTGTATCCTTCTTCATATCAAGCAACTCCCTCATGTTGTATCTAATCTTCCTCAATATAGCAGCTAATATTATAACTTAAGTCCGTAGACCTAGTCACTGTCCATTCTACATCCCAAATTACTCCAAACGTTCCTCAAGACGTGTAATCATCCTACCACATAACCCATGTGCTACCTTTCCACTCTCCCACATTGGTCAACCATCTCCTTTAAGCAACTACTCTACTTCTGTTTTCTTACACTTGGCCTTTTCGAAATCTAACCACCGCAAGGCACCTTCCACATGTCCTTCCTCATCATTCGCTACCCAGTTGTTGCCTTAACTCAAAATCCGTATCTGTAGCACTTGAACCAATAGCTTGTTACCAGCTTTAAACCTTTCTAACGATCATCCTTCTAGAGACATCAATACTAGAAACGCTGCTCCGATCCTGAATCACTGCACACCGCGATCTCTAATGAGTGCTTCCCCTATACCAATTCCTAACACCCTGTCGTGAAGGCGAGTTGAAGAAAACCATAACACTGGTGAACCTTAACGCATTTTACAAGGCGATGACACCACATCAAAATTGAAAACTCTACCACACTCGAAAATATGAAGCTTCGTTACTCCATCAACCCCAAACCTGAACATTCATAGTCCGATTGCCTTTTCTCCGCTGGAATTAAAACATGGAACCTCTTAATCATGTACTTAGAAAACCTTCTTTCAAGTCGTTTACTGCCCTGACACATAGACGGGCATTTTACCATTTCATAAACACTATGCGATAACAATGCACGAATCGTCATAACAATCAATGCCAAATCTCAAAACCTTAGGTAGTACTGATACTTAATTTGGAATGACAGAGCGGCCTTTCGCAAGGCGACGACAATAGCCGAATTAACTACACAGGGAGAAGCATCCTGTACTACATCTGTAGTACCATTAAAAATTTCCTCGATCCCCAATTAATAACAAGCGCTTCACGTCGCATAAGATTGAATAGGAAGAAAATGTAGGCATAAGCCTCAAAGGAATCGAATCGCACGATGAGAAATCAAAAAGGGAAGTATTCCTAACAGCCCTGTAGCCTCTCGAAGATAAGCACAAATGTCTCCGTACCGATCCGCAAGACTCTACTAGACTTGATCATGACTCGTGAGACCTACGTGAACCTAGTACTCTGATACCATGTTGTCACGATCCAAAATTCAAAAAGATCGTGATGGCGCCGGACACCACTGTCAGGCAAGCCAACCATAAACAATTAACTTAATTACCCATTTTAGTATTTTTGAAATAAAAATTTCTTCAATGAAATAGTAAAGATAAAACTCATAGAGTAAATGATAAATATTTTTAGCAACTAAATTTCTAAACAATTCACAACCATTCCCAAAACCCGGTGTCACAAGTGCATGAATATTTACTAGGGAATTAAAATAGAATACAACATCTGTCCAGAATATAAATTAGACACGAAAATATAATAACTCTGAAGGAGACTCTGTTAGCTGCGGATCATAATATAGAATGCAACTCACATATGTCTCACACAATTATTAACCACACCTCTACGCCCATAAGACCGCTATATATATATGTACCTGCACAATAAAATGTGCAGCAAGTGCAGTATGAGTACGAAAATAACGTGTACCCAGTAAGTATCAAGCCTAATCTCGAAGTGGTAGAGACGAGATAGCCAACTTTGACACTCACTATGGGTCAATAATAATAATAATTGAAATAAAACTAAAATATCTAAATCAGCATGATTTACAGAATTTACAATAATTTATTTAATCAGCAGAAATAATAAAATTCCTTCAAATGCAACAATTCACAATATATTAATTAAATTCCTTCAATTCAAATAATTTTTAATTTATCAATTAATCTCATTTACAGGAATAACAATTAATTCCTTAACAAGCAGGAATAATAATCCATTAAATTCCAAGGATTCTCTAATTCATCAATTAGTTTCGCAAGCTGAAATAAACTATTAAGGTATCGTGTAATTATTACTATTAAGCACGATTTCTGCCGAGGACGTATGGCCCGATCCAGAGTGTCGTGTACGCTGTCGAGGGACGTGCAGCACGATCCATAGATGCATCTATCCTGCCGAGGCGTTCGGCCCGCACTACAAGAAAGGAGGACATTTTTCTTATGTACCTCCGGGAATGAGAGTATGTTTATTATAAGATAAATTCGAGAGGATGAAATTATTTTTTAACAATTTATTTAATCTAAACAAAAATTAAGCATATGAAAATTTCATCTTTTACTGCCTTTCATAACAATTCACAATATACACATCAAATAATTTAATTAATAAAGAATACAATTTACACAAGTAATTCATGCTTTGAATCCTAAACTACCCGGACTTTAGCATTAATAGTAGCTACGCACGGACTCTAGTCACCTCGTGTGTACGTAGCCCCCGCAATTAGCAATAATTATTTAATTTAATCCCTATAGGGTAATTTCCTCCTCACAAGATTAGACAAGAGACTTACCTCGTCTTGCTCCAATTTAATTCACTAGAAGGCCCTTTCCACGATTATCCAACTCTGTTTGGCTCGAATCTAGCAAACATCATTCGATACAATTACTAAAAATTATAGGAATCAGTTATATAAGAAATTACTACATTTTAAATAAAAAATCTGAAATTAATTAAAAATTCGTCAGTGGGACCCACATCTCAGAAACCGGCGAAAGTTACGAAATATGAACCCTCACTCAACCACGAGTCTACCCATACCAAAATCACTAAATTTCTTTAACAATTCGGTCATCAAATCTATCCAAGAGGGTTTTCAAACTTTTCCAACTCATTTCACCAATTAAATGATAAAAACAGTGATAGATTCGGGTAATATAACCAATATTGAGTTAAGAACACTTACCCCGTTATTTTCTCTGAAAATCTCCCAAAAATGGCCTAAATCCGAGCTCCAAATCGTTAAAAATGAGAACTTAAATTCTCTGCCCAGTTATTCCTTCTACGCGATCGCGAACTTCCTCACGCGATCGGGTAGCACAAATTTTTCTGCCCAAACATTAATCCTACGCGATCACGGAAAATCCCACGCGATCGCGAAGCACAGTCTCCGCAAGCCTACGCGATCGCGAAGCATTAAGCGCGTGGTCAGCTTCTGCTTCGTTTCCTCTTCGCGAACGCGGCCTTAGCCACGCGTTCGCATAGCACAACTGAATCCAACCTACGCGATCGCGGACTTACCCACGCGATCGTATAGAACAAATTCTCAGCTGCCAACTTAAGCCTGCGCGATCGCAACTCAATCCACGCGATCGCGTATAAGGAAATCAGAAGAAAATTTCCAGCAGCTATCACCAATGTTCTAAAAACCAAAAAATGATCCGTTAGCCGTCCGAAACTCACCCGAGCCCCTCGGGACCTCAACCAATTATACCAACAAGTCCTAAAATATCATACGAACTTAGTCGAAACCTCAAATCATATCAAACAACGCTAAAACCACGAATCATCATCCAATTCAAACTTAATGAAACTTAAAATTTCCAACTTCTTCATTCGGTACCGAAACCTATCAAATCAAGTCCGATTGACCTCAAATTTTTGCACACAAGTCATAAATGACATAACGAAGCTATGTAAATTTTCGGAACTGGATTCCGACCCCGATATCAAAAAGTCAACTCCCCGGTCAACAACAACAACAACAACCCAGTATAATCCCACTAGTGGGGTCTGGGGATGGTAGTGTGTACGCAGACCTTACCCCTACCATGAGGTAGAGAGGCTGTTTCCAATAGACCCTCGGCATCCTTCCCTCCAAGAACTCCCCACCTTGTTCTTGGGGTGACTCGAACTCACAACCTCTTGGTTGGAAGTGGAGGTTGCTTACCATCAGAGCAACCCCTTCCAAAATTAAATTCTTGTTTTAGCCATTTCAGACCTAATTTGACTACGGACTTTCAAATAAAATTTCGATCACACTCCTAAGTCCAAAATCACCATACGGAGCTGTTGAAATCATCAAAATTCTATTTCGGGGTCGTTTGCACATAATTCGATATCCGGTCACTATTTGAACTTAAACTTTTTAATTGTTTCATCAAAATTCCATATCTCGGGCAAGGGACCTCGGAATTTGATTCCGGGCATACGTCCAAGTCTCAAATCACGATACGGACCTACCGAAACTGTCAAAACACTAATCCGAGTCCGTTTGCTCAAAATATTGACCAAAGTCAAACTTGGCATTTTAAAGCCAACTTAAGGAACCAAGTGTTCCGATTTCAACCCAAACACTTCCAAATCCCGAACCAACCATCCCCATAAGTCATAAATCATTAAAGTACATACGAAAAGTTTTATTTAGGAGAACGTGGTTCTAAAAGTCAAAACGACCGGTTGGGTCATTACACATTAGAAGAAAACATACACAAAAAAACATCATCTACAAAGAAGTATTTGGTAAGATACCATCACATCAAATACTTTTAAATTATAACACATAATTATCTAACATGACTAAATTTATCATTTGTGTAAGTTGTGATGATGTCCTTTCATTTTAAATTCACGTATTACGCTAATGTAATAATATTTTTCGGCTTTTAGATGATTTAAATGTTTAAACCATCGCGTGCTAGTATTAACGTGTTGATAGATACTAGTTAATAAAAACATGCTTACATGGCAAAAAAATCTCCATCTCGTGATTCGATCCCGAGACCGTGTAACCCTTTGCTCAATTAGTACTTACAAATAATTTACAATTTCGGAAAACAAATCGGCGTTTCTACTTTCTCCCAATCCAAAACAAATTTACCAAACCCAATTCAACCTCACATAAAAACCAAAAAATAGAAGAAACCTTTCCTCACCTAACAAGCAAAACGAAAGAAAGAAAAGAAAACCCCATTGCAGTCGAATCAGAAAAAATCAAATTAAGATATAAAGATCTCGTTTTTATCTAATTCCAATTCAGCTCAATTCAATTCAATTCAATTATCTGTGGCAATGTCAGGTGTATCACTGAAGTGTGGTGATTGTGGAACTCTCTTCAAATCTGTAGAAGAAGCACAGGAACACGCCGAAGTTTCTTCCCATGCTAACTTCAATGAGTCCATTGAAGCCGTCCTTAATCTCGTCTGCACCGCTTGTGGCAAGCCTTGTCGCTCCAAAACGGTAATAATTTTGCCCTTTTATTCCTCTTTATTGATTATTTTAAGCTATGAACAGGGTTTTAATGATTTATTTAGCTAATTGATGGATCCTATCTAGTTTGAGATTGAGGAATAGCTGTTGTATGTGCGAAGTATGACCAGAGGCAGACCCAATATTTAAACTTTATGTGTTTGGAATGCAGCTGAACTCATTGATGATTTGAGTTACTGGGTTTGAAATTTAACATCTGTACACATATATAGGGTCAGAACATGTGCTGGTCGGAGGTAGCAGGTAGCCAGTGGAATAATTGAGATACGCGAGCCTGAACACCATCGTCCTTAAAAAAAAGATATATGGTCTGCACTAAAGCTATTAGGTTGGGCCGAACCCATACTTTACTTTGCGCATCCGCTCCTGGAAGTACCACTCCGCCCATTAGTCCTTTGTGACATGGTTACAAGGTTAATATGAATATATATATATATATACACACACACACTTGACAAATTCAATTAGTTGTACATGGTTTTAGTCAAAAGGGTAGTGAGTGTCAGCTGCGCTAAGATCGGATACGCCCATGGCTCAAAGGGATTTGATTCAACGGTAAAGGTAGTACCGGAGTTAGATTCGGGATTTGAATATTATGGGTTCGAGTTCTGAATTTAACCACTACTCATTTGATTTATTGGGTTCAAAATCTATTATTTGTATTTATTTAGTGAATTTATTTAACACATATAGAGGGTCTGAGCCAAAGATACTGGGTTCAGATAACCACCTAACTAAAGCACTACATCCTCCTCTGAGTGGTACAACATCGGTGAACCAAAACTGATAGTTAAGTGGAGAAGGATAGAGGAGAAAAATCATTTTCCACCAAGTTTTGAAGCTGAAAACGGTGGAATACTTGGTTATAAAAAGAAAAAACTAAAAGGTTGGATCCACCCGTGCTCTTAGTGGTATATTATATTGCTAGTCGTGTGAATTTGTGTGGAGATAATTTGCCGGAAATCGAAATACTCAGCCGAATACTCAGACTAATACACTTAAAACTTCTGATCGGAATATGAACAGTTTATTTCTGCTGTAGTGATGATTTAGCTGTTGTTGTAGCTTGACAATGTAGTTTTTTGTGAATTTTGGGGTTTTTGATTTATGAAGGAGAGTGATCTTCACACCAAAAGAACTGGGCACACTGAGTTTACGGACAAGACAGCAGAGGCAGTGAAGCCAATCAGCTTGGAGGCGCCAAAGGCAAAGGCTGATGATGATGAAGACATGGAAGAGGGTGGTCATGACAGTGGTACTGGTAAGCATGAAGATAGTAATTCATTGTGGTTGAGTTTTTTGGTCTTTTAGTTACAATCTTGTTGTTAGATAACTTTGTTTATTGCTTATGAGAATTGCTAATTGGGTGAGGCTTATGAGCAAAGTAAAAGCGTTTCTTTTCCTCTTTTATTTGTTTATGGGTAAAGCTATTTGTAGTAGAACTTAAATGATGTATGTACTTTAAGTAGTTCATGGAGGATTTAGGAGAGGGTTAATTCTTTTTCGTGAAATACATATGACGGAATTAAGATTATTTACTGAAATTACCACTTCCCTTTGGGATGGGGGGGTGTTCTCACTTGTTTAACGCTTTTATTCATCAAGCAAGCTCTTTATGTAGATCTAGAATTTGCAACTTGAAGGTGCTTAAAATCCAAATCTTCTTTTTTTTTTTTTGTTTTTTAATAAGGGTGCTTATCATCTAACTCTAATTGAGAAGACTATGAACCACAAAGATTGCAGCTAAATGTTTGTTCAAATGAGGCACAAGCATCTGAGCAGTTCTTTATTTTTATTGTTTATACATGGGTACTAATATACTCCTTTTTCCTAGAAATGGTTGTTCCTGAAGTAGACCAAAATTTGCTATCAGAACTCGAGACAATGGGATTTCCCAAAGCTAGGGCTATCCGTGCACTCCACTTTTCTGGTGAGTACTTTTTAGAATCTTCATCATTATGATTGTTTCTACATCTATTCAAAGATGAGAAAAGGTCACATTTCCAAAAAAACAAATCATGCATGAATTCATGTGGGTAACTCTAGCAGAAAGAAAGAATGTATATTATGAACATGAATGTACCAGGCCTGCTCTTCCTCTCCCTCGCCTCCCTCCTTAAGATCTGAGGATAGGTCTTTCTCACTTGTTGTAAAAGTGTTTTTAATTTGTGGCATCATCTCTTGAAGTTTTATCCTTTTAGTTTGCTCCTTTTGTTTTCCTTCCACCGGTATTTGGCAGTCTGACAAAATTAAACCTTGGAATGCAAGTGATTAATTCAGCATTTCAGGGTGTGATAGAGAAGTTCTCTTGCATTTCTTGACTGGCCAGTACGTGAACCATAAAGCTTCAGTACTGAATTAAATACCAACTGCACAACTGGCATAAGATTAGTTTGCAGTCCTTATTGAAAGATTAATGTGTGGTCCATGGAGTGTCTTCCTTGAATGGAATATATATTTTCATACAGTTCTTCAATTCCTGTATCCTCTATCAATACTTCTTTAAAGATTACTTTTTCAACATTTCCTTGTTTACTTTAACCAATCTTGTATGATGTCAATCTCCCAATTCGGTGTGTATGCTGTTGACCACTTTGTTTTCTGTGCATGTTTCCTCTCTGTTTCATTTATATAAATCAAGGCATCTCTAATTGTGCATGCCTGTAAATTTCGGATACTTTTCCCAGGCAATGCCAGCTTGGAGGCTGCTGTAAATTGGGTTGTAGAGCATGAAAGTGACCCAGACATAGATGAAACACCACTGGTATGGAAATTTTGGATTCCTGCATTTATTTGCTTAATTCATGAACTAATTCTATGTTGTGATTTCTGTTTCCTTGTGAGATCCATAAAGATGTATTTATGTGGCATTTATGATCTATTAACAGGAAGTTGTACTCAGTTATGTGAATTCTGTGGCTGAGAGCATGTGGAACATGTTAAAAGAGACCTTAGTTCATAGCATTATAAGAGTATGAGGCCAGCTAGGACATTATATCTAGGAGGATGATTGGAGATGGTCCAATCCATGCTTAACCAGGCCTAGGAAAATTAAAAGAGTAGTTTGCACTTTGCTGATTATTAGGTAACACCCAGAGAAGTTTTTACACCAAAAGAGAACACTTTAGACTCTGAATCTCTTTTTTTCCCCTTTTTCTCTAGTAAGTAAGTTTCCGAGCTTTTTAAATAGTGAGTAGGATCTTTTTTGTAAATTAAGTGTCCCTTATTATGAGAAGGTCAATGCTTTTCTTGGTGTTCCAGTGAAACAAATATTTGTTGTGTCTTTGCTGCAACCTATAAGCATTTCTATAGAAGAATCTCTTAAGAATCTATTTGTATAGAAGATTGTGTGTCATTTGTGGAAAACCATGTTCTGTTGTGAGATTTTCTATTGTTTTTGGGTATACTCCTTGTGTACGAGCACGCTTTTTGCCCCTTTTAAATGAAATTTCTTACTTTATCAAGAAAAAGTCTGTCAATGAAGTCATTAGGGTTTGTTTTATTTTTTATTCTATCTTCAAACTTATCCTGCTTCGATAATGCAATGATTATTAAAATTTACCTAGGTACCTGCCAGTGCCAAGAAAGCTGAGGCTCCAAAGCCTTCTCTTACTCCAGAGGAAATAAAGAAGAAACAAGAAGAGTTGAGGTAAATTCTTGCTGGTAAATTGTTCTCTGCAATTTTTGAGTAGCTGGACATAGTTTTGGGACTAGTATGTGGTTTTATTTATGAGATATGTCTAGTTTAGTCTCGTAAATTATTTCATTTGTTTTGTTCATTCTCGGAGTAGTTTTTAATAATGCTTCTTTTATCTTACAGTATGCATGCTCATAATTTTCTAATCTTTCAATGACTTCTAGGGAGCGTGCTCGTAAAAAGAAAGAAGAGGAAGAGAGACAAAGGGAAAGAGAGAGAGAAAAGGTAACTCTTGATTTAGATTTTGACATTAATTTGCATGAGTGAAGGTCAATTGAATATTATTGCTGAATTACGTGCTGAAAGCAGTGATGCTTAGGTGGTTCCATTCTTAGTTACCTGCATTTTCTGTCTTGACTTGTAATCAATCTAGTTAAATAGGTCAGTAAGATCGTTTTGTCTTCTGCTTCAGGAAAGAATTAGAATTGGTAAGGAACTCTTGGAAGCAAAACGGATGGAAGAAGAGAATGAAAGAAAACGGTAAGCATTGAACTTTGGTACTCTTTCTGTTTTTACTCCCAGTGATGCCTGCTCATATAATTGGAATTTTTTGCTTTGATGTATTATAGTATAATAGCATTGCGCAAGGCCGAAAAAGCGGAAGAACAACGAGCTAGGGAGAAAATTCGTCAGAAACTGGAAGAAGATAAGGTCGAAACTCCAACCTGTCATGAAACTTTTTGTTCATCCCTTCAGCATCTAGCTTGCTTGATGGAACTTGTCAATTTATTAATGTATAAAACATGTCTCTGTCAATATATTTGATTACACTTAAAAACAGTATTTTTAATACCTATCTTGCCACCTACTCTTTGCTTGGCAGGTTAGAACGTTAAGTTTGAATAATTGCAGTCATATGGTTTGACAAAAATTCTTAGTGTCGGTGGTTCTAGGGGAATGGGCTTGTCTGTTCTCCTGTTGATATTTCTATATAAACATTCTTTAGTGTAGAGAGCTTTTTCTGCCAACTACTTAGTATCCCATTGATATTCTACTGGCATTCAGGGAGGTCAAGTTGTAGCTTATGTTGATAATTTGCTGTCAGCTTCTTATTGGTGTACTCTGGATGAGATGTGCATCATTTTGCATCTTTAAACACTGCTGCGACCTGTGATTGTGGTTTGACCAGGTTAAGGGCTGTTAAAATATAATGTGAAATCATAAGGTCCTGGCTATTTCTACTTCAGCCAAAACACGTCTAAGCAAATTGACAACTTTGTGCAATCCTCACAACATAATTACCTGCTCCAAATTATACCTGACCATCTGTATCACTTAAGTGCAACTCTAACTTACTTACCTGCTGCCATTTTTGTCGTGTTGAAACAATTGTGTTTACTTTCACAGGCCGAAAGAAGAAGGAAACTCGGTTTGCCAGCAGAAGATCCTGCTCCCCCCAAACCTTCTACACCTGTTGTGGAGGAAAAAAAGGTGTTTATTTATGCAATAGCAACTCTGTCTATGGTTTTGTCCCATATGGACATAACTTGTCCCACTCAAAAACTTCATTGGATGTATTTTTTGGTAGATCACATTGCCTGTCAGACCAGCTACAAAGGCAGAGCGGATGAGGGAGTGCCTGAGAACACTTAAACAGACCCACAAGGTAATCATTCAGTTGTTTTCGGGGCCCTTAGAGTACTTTCTTGCAGATTTGAGCTTTGGAATTGAGAGTGGTTAAATGTGGACCAGCCTACTTTATTTAAAGAACAAAGTGAACTTACGTGCCCTTCCACCCTCTGTTTCAAACTCAAAAGAGTAGAAAGCAAAGGACATCAGAGTCATAATTAGCCATTCAGGTTAATTTTGTTCTTTTCATCAAGACATAAGTTAAATGAATTTAAAAAACAAGGATATAATGGATGCTTCTGGTTTCTTTCCTTCTTTAGTGCATTACATTAGGAAGCTTTTTCTTTTGAAAGGTAATCAACAAACATTCCCTAGGAACGGAGTAGCCTATGATTGACATTCTACATTCCTTTGGTGTGTTTTAGATATGAATGAGATGTCATTCTAACTTCATTGTTGGTGAACTGATTCTTTGTTCATTTTCCTCTTATGGTCCAGGATGATGAGGCCAAAGTCAAGACCGCTTTCAACACACTGCTAACTTATGCAAAGAATGTCGCAACAAATCCCAATGAGGAGAAATATCGCAAAATTAGGCTTAGCAATGCTGCTTTTCAGGTGAAGTGTCATTAAGGAAATAGTTATGCCTTCATTTTTGTTCTTTAGTTACCTCTGAATTGACTCCTTTACAAGAGAAAGCTCCTTTAGTCCTTGTTTATATAGCCTTCTTAGAGGGTTTGACTTCATTCAATTCCTGAAAATAGGGGGTGGGGTGAGGTTAATGTACTTGATTATTTTTGCTTGCCAGAATGCAGGATAGTTTAGGACCCTCACCTCCAATTATTCGTCCCAAAGAGTATCAATCCCAATTACTTAACCCCATTTCTTTTTCTCCCCTACTTATCAAAAAAGATATAGAAACTATTTCTCCCTATTTTTGTCATTTTTTAATTTCTGGGTGGCAGGGGGTGTTAAGGTTGTATACCTTTTGCCACCTAGCTATTAGTCCCATGCCGAAGAAGGTTGTCTAGAGCTAATAAAACTGATGATTGTTATAGCAATATTCAGATAATGATAGTTAGATACTTAGATACAATATATTATCTCTTCCAAGTTGATTCAAACAAAACTTAAGATTCTTGTAACAATATTTAGAATTTTTTAACCTGATACGTTCGATCATCTCAGCCAAGTAGATTCATAGACAAATAGAACTAACACACACACATCTTTTGACTAACAGGATAGAATTGGCAAGCTGCAAGGAGGCATTGAGTTTCTTGAGCACTGTGGATTTGAGAAAATTGAAGGGGGTGAATTCTTGTACCTGCCAAGAGAAAAGGTGGACATGGCAGTTCTTAATACTGCTGGAACTGAGTTGAACAATGCAATTAAAAATCCCTTCTTTGGAGTCCTTTAATCTTATAATACATTAGTTTCAGGCAAATACTGAAGGATGCTTTGTCCAACTCTTCCTCCCTTAGTTTATTCAAGGTACCTTAGTTATATAAACGGAAAACTGTAAAAGCTACTATGAGGTTGATAGATGGATGTTCCTTTTTGAAGGGAAGCCTTAGTGTAACTGGTAAAGTTGCTTCCATGTGACCAGGAGATCACGGGTTCGAGCCGTAGAAACAGCCTCTTGCAGAAATGTAGGGTAAGACTGCGTACGACAGACACTTGTGGTCCGGTCCTTTCCCGGACCCCGCGCATACCGGGAGCTTAGTACACCGGGCTGCCCTTTTTTCTTAACCTATAAGTTGAAGGATTATGTTCATTTTGAAACTTGACGTCCTTTTTGCATGACTAAGATAACAATGGAATATATGTATGATAAATGTCAGGTTAATGGTTGGATGTATTTCGTTTGTTTTTGAATTCAAAACTCTCTAAAGGGGAAAGAGATAGTGGGGGTATGCGGAAAGCAGGATGAGAAGTTGAGAACTGATTGAATATTTGAATTCAATTCTTTATGTTGAATAAATTCATAAAAATGCAGCATTGAAGTAATTTATTCCAAAATTAAATCGAATTCTTTGGTCAATGGACGGTTTTTTTTATTAATTGAACGTTTATAAAGGAAAAAGCAAACATCCTTGTGATTTAATTTGAAGATTTGGTGACAAACTATACTACTACTTTGAAAATATTTTTTAAGACTTTAATTTCCTATGTCTACATTTTTCTTAAATCAACTTGCCATTTAACTAATTAAATTTATAAAAATTATACTTTTTAATTCATAATCTCTTTGATTCAAAATTTGTAAAATCAATAAGCACATTGATAGTCTTATTTTACTCAACATCAGTGTTTTAAAAGGTGTGGGCGTAAGGCGATACGTTTTACATATGCCTTAGCGAGGCGTAAGACCCAATAGGTATTTAATTTTTAATATTTTATAAAATAATATAATGAGAGTAAATATTTATAAACAAGTAAAATTGCATAAAAATTGAAGATATAAATATATGAAACATATATATATATATATATATATATATATATATATGTGTGTGTGTGTGTGTGTGTGTGTGTGTGTGTGTGTGTGCGCGCGCGCGCGCGCGCGCTCCATCCCCACAAAAAACTAGTCAAAATAATTTATTATACGCTACTTACAACCACAAGTAACTTGAATCTAAAAGAATAAAGTTTTCTATACGGAGGAACAAAAGGGATGATTAACCTGCAATTTGAACTTTGAACTTGCTGCTATGAAGGAAAATGAAGTTCTCTTTGTATTTGTAAAAAAAATTAAATATTCGTTGCTTTTGGGAGATATTAGCAGACTAGCGGGCAAGATAAAGAATTGAAAAATACCATGAATTATGGCTTCAATCAATAAAAAATATCTTGACTTTTAAATTTAAATCCTTTGAGTTCCTTTTTATACCTTTTGAGTAATTACCAAACTAACTTTTTTGAGATTTTGGGTATTATATGAATGACTTATTCAACAAATTTTGTTTTAATTTGAAAATATCTCTAGGGCTTACTACTCACTAAAAAAACGCGTCTCAAACTCCCGGGCGTACGCCCCAAATTGCTGGGCGTACGAGACTTTCGCCCCACACCATCGCCCCAGAGCATTTTTGGTACGCCTCGCCCGGGGCTTACCCCGAAAACGCCTTTTAAAACACCGCTCAACATATCAGTAAATAGATGGCATCGATTACATATATTTGATCTCTACCTTTTTTTTGGGCCATATTTGATCTCTATATTCTCACACGACTTTGTCTTAGTAACAAATAATGCTAAAGTTTGATCATAATAAAATACAAGTACATCTTCTCAGCTAGAATGTCGTTTTTTCTCTTGCCTCTCTTAACTTAACAAGGATAAGACGACTTAGGTAATCAATTACTTGTTATTTTCTCTACTTATTCTTCTATACCAATAATAGTCCAATTGTACCTTAACTACCTTCCAAAGTTAAACATATCTCAATAAACGCATCCATTAGTTTTAATTTATTTAACCTCCTAATCACCTTTCAAATACTTGAAGTATTAGAAAATGTGATACCACTGAGCAAACCGACCTTAGCTCAGTTGGTAGAGCGGAGGACTGTAGTCGGGTAATGAAAGCCCACAGCTAATCCTTAGGTCACTGGTTCGAATCCGGTAGGTCGGATCACTTTTTGTTTTTAAAATTTCATTTTCAACGATTATTTTTGGTTTCACTTTACTTCCTCCACGCCGGCGCATTTTAGTAGTCCTTAACTTAACATGCACACAAAGCTCAATAAAATTGGCAGTAGCATAGACTTAGCAAAACTCAGCTAAAACATCGATCGATCGGCTTATACTATATTCAATTCAAAGCGAAAATCAAGCGAAACAGTTTTTAATGGTAAGTACTTTCATTTCGAGAAAAAAGGGGGTAAAATTCGAAATATACTGTGTATTTTAGGGATTTGATCATATTAACATTCTTCAATTCAATTCTACTTTCTGGAGTAAATGTGTGTGTATTTGTAGAGAATTGAGCTGCGTTTGAATTATTTCATCTTATTTACTAGCTCAATCGATTTAGATCCAGGATTTTTCTGTGTGTGTGGTTATATTGGGCAAAATGCAGAGTGGTTATCGTTTTTTGATTTAATTTGCAGGCAAATTCGTTACGATTGTATTTAACATGCATAAGAAACACGCTCGAAGCAGCTATGTGTCTTCAGGTAATGTTGCATTTTTAACTATCATAAGAATTTTTTGCAGTTTTATAATAGAATTCTTTTTGAAAAAAAGTTTTATGTTAGAATACTAGACTCTTAGTTGAGTCTTTTTAGTTGTTGTGTTTGACTTGCATTGTTGTTGGCCTGAGATGTAATGTTTGAGGTTTTTGCACTGAGATATGAACGGAAGTGTTAGGTTGAGACGATTACAAGCATTATGCTGTGATAGTTTGGGTGATTGGGAGGCAAGTTGAATGTTTCTGCACTGCTAGGACGTTTTATTTACACTTATAAGTTTTAATTTCTCGGTGTTCATTATATATGCTTGTATTAGAGAGTTCACATGCCATGCCACTAGCAGTCCTTCCACTCCCACCCCCATCCCCGAAGAAAAATTATTCTGAACTCTGCATTCCCGTTGTATTGTTATATGTTCCGCCAACTAGCTTGGGATTGAGGGTAGTTGTAGTATGTTATTTCAGCCACATGTGTTATTTGTTCAGCCAATCAATTTGTTGAATTTGGCATATTTTGACACTTCTCAAAAAGTTTTTGATTTGCGTCATGGTTTAACATAAAAGTGCAAAGCTGTTAGTAGTTTTAAGCCCCTTAGACAATTTTCTCCGCAAATATGATGTTTTAGTTACTCTATATCTGTCTTAGATAATCTCTTTTCGACATGATGGTTGCAGAATTTCCCATGCCAAGAAGTAGAGAGGCATAACAAACCAGAGGTTGAACTAAAGTATGGCTTCATGCTACAGTTACTCAAAGTTAATGATGCTGGTTAAATTCAATATATGTCTCTTGGGTGGTTCATCAAATGGATTTGCAGTAGGAGGATTCCTATAATCCAGAATAACCCCATATATATTCTTTTCACCTATAATATGGCTAGAATCTTAAACAAAAATTTTGAATTACACGAACATTTTTGCAGCAGAATTTTGATATTCTACCAAAAAGCAGAATTTTGATATTCTACTGAACTGCTGTTTCGTTATGTAGACAATGTGATGTTTCATCTCTCTTCCAAATGTTATTCATTGCCCTGCCAACATGTGTACTAAAATAATAATGCTTTCTTATTTTGTATGTTCTCCAGGACAAGCCCAGAACTTCTTCTTAATCCTGTAAGAACTGTTTGATATTCTTAACTTTTATACGATTTTTGAAGATCTCTGATGGGTACAATAGATTTTCGTGTTCTCGTGGTTTGCCCATCTGTTCTGAGTACAATCATTGCAAGCGTAGACTATATGTCTTTATGGCTCGGTAGTAACTGCAGTTAAGGTTTTTGAAAGTATGATGGCGTTATTCAAAATTTTGAAGTGCTTAGAGAGTTATCGCTTTAAATTTTTTTATAAATTTCTCTCTCATTGTTAGCTAGTTGTTCAAAGCTTGTTCCCAAGTTGTCTTTCTTAGATGCCAACACATTGTCGATGAGTCGCTTTATAGATGTAACAAGTTGTACAATTTGGTTGGGAACTCTAGCTAGTCATAGATTTAGGGTCATCTAGTAGCACTGATGCAAGTTGCAATGCTCATATTTTGCTGCTAAGTGCCTCTCCAATGGCAAAAATGGATTGACCAACCCACCTCTTAAATATCCTGCATCGAAAAAGGTATTATTTTTTACGGAGAGTATTAATTCATTATATTTGCCATTAGAGAAAAGTTACGTTCCTTTCTGTCTTGATGGTAAACATGTTCTCCATGACAAGGTAGGAAGAAATAATCAATATTTCATGTGCAATGTTTTTTTAAATGTAACAGAACCCTTCATAATTGCATACTGATTCATCTGCTGCTATGATACTGCTAAATCTATTAAAAAACCTCTAACGTGGTCCTTTGTCTATACTTGATATTCCATGTGCCAATGAGTATTTAATAGCTGCATGTCTTATATCAATCTATTTAATTTTTCCCATGTACCAATCACAGGTTTTGATTTGTCGAAATGAGGCTGAAAGGTGCTTGATTGAAACATCTATTAATTCCTTGCGCATAAGTCTAAAGGTAGGTTTGCTTTGCTATTCATATGTATTGATTCTTATATTCCTATATAAGGAGCTACAAATGAAGGTGCACGCTGTCTAAAGCTGTGCATATGCCATATTTATGCTTTGGTTCTTATAGAGTAGAGTACATTAATGGTACCTTGAACCATATTTCTCTAGTTATACATCTGCTTGTTTATGCTAAACGCCATTTGCCAAGTATTCATTAGCAGTCCAGACCTTTCTTTCTAGTTCGATATGCTACAGACTGGAATACGTGTCTAATCATTAGTGTGTTGTATTTCAACAAGATGGTAAATCAAAATTTGAGATTTGCCTATCAATTTGTTGCAAGACCATGTTCCTCCAAGAGCTTCATATAGCCTGACATCTGCATGCAGCTTGCAATGCCTTTTTAAATGAATCCACCTAACATTTTGGAATTCTTAGCTAAACTACTGATTGTGCTGGACTGGGTAGAAACTGTATTAGTTCCGAAATTAAGTAGACTTCACAAGGAATTATAGGATTCTGGATTTTGGAAATCACTTGAAAAAAGGTTTAAGCTCCTCATGTGTGATTAATGCTGCAGGTGAAACAGTCAGATGAACTTGAAAATATACTAACAAAGAAGTTCCTTAGGTTTTTGTCTATGAGAGCAGAAGCGTTTCAGGTGTTAAGGAGAAAGCCGGTTCAGGTTTGTATCTCTCCTCCTCTCATGAAAATGGTAACAGTATCTTATATCCTCTTATATCGTGGATTAGGTTTTCTTTTAACTCCTTGTAACCGATTCCGTGCTTTGGCATGTTCTGTAATTCTGTATCCTAAATTTTGTAGTTATATTTGACGGAACTTGAACGTCTAATCTATTTCCCGTCCTTTTTTTCCGTTTGCTCTCTACTGCATTTACTCACCATTTGCTCATAGTTTGAATATATCTAGTTATTGGTACAAATTTTCCTTGTAATGTTATTATCAACCTATTCCACCTATGGTAACATGGTAGTAGCAACTTGGGGATGGATCTATTACTAAATATGGAAGGTGGTTGTGAAGTCTGAAATCATAGTTAACTTTCTGGGGTCTGGACTTGCTTCTAGTGCAATGCTTTGGGACGGATTACTTTTAGTTCTCATTTTCAGCAAGTTGACAAAGGCCTTTCTTATTTACTTTCCTTAACTTGTGTTGGGGGAGGGTTGTGAAAGCAAATGTCTAATACCCCTATTTATCCATTTTCTTATGTGGGCTGGGGTTAAACTTTACAAACTCACTTAGAAAATGTCTATTGCTCAACTGCAAAAGGATGGGAAGATATTGATTCAGTACAATACTAAGAGAAATTGGCACATTAGCTGCTTTATGGGACGCTTTCTTATTTGTTTACAATATTTATGTGATTGCTTCTCAGGCTTGGTAGAGACTAAAAATTTGTTTAGGTTTGATGTGTATTCATGTATTAGCCCTAGATGGAGAGTAGCAATCTTGAAAGAAGCATCTTTGGAGTATTCTCAAGTTTTTCTTGAATAAAATAAAGTATCTACCTAGCCTAAAAGACTCTGAGTAATTTAGCTGACAGTGAATCACATGTACCTGTTGGACATAGGTTGAGAATATTTGACATGCTTCACAAATGGTTGAAAATGAACTTTATTAGGTGTTATAAAAATGACTTGTTTTTAATCAGTAAAGGTAAATAACTTGTTTCTTGACCAAGTTTTAGTCATCTGAATTCTGTTGGGCGCATTATGTTTCAGGGCTACGACATTAGTTTTCTCATTACAAATTATCATTGTGAAGAGATGCAGAAGCAAAAGCTTATTGATTTCATAGTGCAATTCATGGAGGTAGACTTATTAATTCCCACCCTTCCAAGGATAAAGTAGCAGTACAACCTCTACATCAATCAATTACGTAACTTATTGATATTTATTCAAAGAGTTTTATGAATCTCTGCTTCTTTTATGAAATTGCAGGACATCGATAAGGAGATCAGTGAACTGAAACTATCAGTGAACACCCGAGGGAGGCTTGTTGCTACTGAGTTTCTAAAGCAATTCATTTGATATTTCTTTTTTCTTCTTATGGCAACTAGAATATGTATTCATTTTTTTTTCCTCCTCTACTTGAAGCTACATATTACAGAAATTCTCTATTGTATTGCATCAATGAGTTCCCTTTTCCTTCACTTATGTCAGGAGATGGCAGAGTGAATACTCAGTTAATATTTGCAACGAGTTGTATTAGTCATTGTAGTGCTAAGTTGCTTTGCTTGTGTTGGTTAATCAAAAGGGCTCGTTTAGTATGAAAGATAAGGGATAATTAATCTCAGGATTAAATATGAGATGCGTTTATACCATGTTTGGTTGGGATAAAATTGTGGTATATAATTTTGGGATTAGTTATTCAGGGATTGTAGAGTTTTTTTATCCCTTTGGGAGTGTGGGGTAACTAATCCGGCATGGGATAACTTTTTTACCATCTAAACGATGCCCAGTTATACATCTGAATTTCTAATTACTTGTATGTCACCAAAGTTACTAACACTCTGATATTTATTTAACATTAGATTCTGACAGATGGATGTAAAAGCAAAGATTTTTCTAAGTTTCCTAAAGAAACTAGCTGCTGTTTACTGGCATTAAATAAATGATTATAAAATGTTAGATTGACTGATCCTACCTTTCTGACATTCTATAAACTACCAAGTAAAAAAAAAAGTTTTTTTTTTCTATCAGCTTCTACGAGGGTATTTAAATATTTCGGTTCGATATTTTCGGTATTCGATTTTTTAAAATGCTATACCAAGATATTTCGGTTCGATATTTTCGGTATTCGATTTTTTAAAATGCTATACCAATACCGTACCTAATTAAATTCGGTATGATTCGGTTTTTCTCCTTTCGGTTTCGGTTTATTCGGTTCGGTAACTTCGGTTTATTCGGTTTGAATACTAACTAGTGCATAAAGTCATAAACAATAATATTCTTAATTAAAGTACAAAACTAAAAACGTTTGTTGACAAAATTTTTATCCAAAACCAGCAAATACCAATCCAGAGAGAAAAATGTACATAAAAGAATAAATTTGATTATTAAAAATGTCTTGTTGCTTGCTTAGAGTTAATTGATGAACTTAAAAAATAAAGAAAAGTAAAATTTAGATTTCTTATATTTATGTTATTAACTAATAATATGTGTATTGTATAATATAATATATATTTCGGTACGGTATCGATGTTTCGGTATTTTATTTTAAAATATCAAATACCATACCTAATGTCAATTTTTTTAAAAACTTAAACCAAATACCATATCGAACACCAAAATTTCCGGTTTCAGTACGATTTATCAAATTACACACAACCCTAGCTATATTCTTCTGGTTCTAGATTCTATTTTCTAGTCTTATGGCACTTTTGAAACGTCTCACAATAAAATAGCTTGAAATATTTAGGAATGACTTAAAACATAATATAGAACGTTATATAAATTGAAACATAGAAAATAACAACTTTTAGATATCTAGTCTAAGAAATAATCAGTTGAATGTGATATAATATAACTCTAAAACTAGTCAAATTAACACCCATAAAGTAAAAGTGTCAAGAGATATGAAACGGGTCATTATTTTCTTCTAGAGAAAACATTAGGAAAAATGATAACCCATAATTTATTAGTCCTTCAACATATATTAGTATTACTATAAATATAAATATAAATTAAAGGAGGACAGATGAGGATGTGACGGTTGTGCATTGTAGCATGTTGGTTACACTGTCCAGTGCCGACAAATTCACGACTGGCTACACCATGTGCTTGAAAATATGTGTCATTTTTTTTTCCCATTAAATTAAATAGTGAGTTAAACATTCGTAGTGTAACACAATGTCAAAAGTATTATATAATTTTTTTTTGTATATTAGCAATATATATATATATATATGTTAATTTTTTTAAAATTGCTTTATATATAACATAATGTCATGAAATGATTTGTGTATGTCGCGACTATTAATTAATGATTTTAAGTTTCATGTACCGGTAGCAATAGTCATTTTAGATATGACAAGACAGCTCTGCTATGACATATGTTTCAAAAAAATATGTAATATATTCTTATTTAGAAATAATTTAATTTTAATAAGATGATTTATAGCCACACGAATGATTAAATCATATAATCATTTATTTTTAAAACTCATCATCGAGTCAAACTCCGCCCATATTAATTGGGACGGAGGGAGTAATTAATAATCAGATTAAAAAAAAAATATTCGTTTTATGTGAACCTATTTTTATTTTGATCCGTTTCAAAAAGAATGATCCATTTCTAAATTTAAAAATAATTTAGCTTAAACTTACAATTCTACCCTTAATGAGAAATTTTTATAACCGCACAAATACTCTGAGCTCATTTTTAACTTATTTAGGAAATCAAACAGGTTTACATAAATAGTAACGGAGCGACTAATACTTTTCCATTTCTAATTAGAAAATATCCTTTTGATCTGACAAGAGTATGTGGGATGTCAAACGTCATTGGTGGCGCCAGTCACCTAGTCATCCAACCCCTCAGCTGAAAGAAGAAAGAAAAATAAAATCTTGGAAACAACAGTGAAAGCTTTCATCTTAACATCTCAGCTGAATTTTTCTAAGCTGCTGCTGTTTAACTGTACTTACCCTTTATAATGGCTGTGAGTTCTTGATCTATTTCTCTCTTGTATTTTGATAAATGTTAAGCTGAAATGATTGTGTATTCTGTGGAATGTTTGTTATGCTAAAAATGGTTTCCTTGGAAGTTCTGAGAGTTGAAAAAGACAATATTGATTTAATAGCTTAATGGGTTTCTGTTTATGGGACTGAGCCATAGTTGATTGATTGAACTTTTTTGATTCTTGGTGTTGAAATTAACTTGATTTTGTGAATGAGTGGATAAACTTAGGTGCTTATGTGTATTTTGTGGGGTTTTAGTGAATCCACATAAAAAATACAGGTTTTGCTGGAAGTGTTAAGCTGCAAAGGCGGATCCACTATTTAGATTCTATGAATTCAAACTTTTAAGGTTTTAGCATTGAACCCATTTTATTTTCAAAGTTATGGGTTCAGACCTGCTATTTGTTGCAATTTTAATGAATTTTTACACATAAATTTATGTTTTGCGTCGAAAGTGCTGGTTCAAATGAACCCGGCAACCAAACTCTACATCCGCCCCTGTTAAGCTGGATCCATATATTATTACAAGCTGCAATTAAGAAACATATAATTACGGATCTTCCCTAAAAAAATGTGATTGTAGAAGGGCATTTCAGTTTTGAATTTTCGCGGAATAGTACTTTTGAAGCTAGAGAGTTGAGCACTTGAGCTAGTTTTTTGGGACTAGGTAAAGATCTGTTAATCTTGTAAAGAGACCAAAGTTAATGATAATGGATAGAGAAATGTGAAAGAGTGCAAACCCGTCTTTTAGCTTTTTCACTGTGCTGCAATTATTGGAATTTCATAAGATGTAGAACTAAGTGCAATTTATGCACTTTCTTCGAGTCTGAGAAGTAATGCTGTTTTTAAGCAGATTGTCACTTGGTGATACCACGAAGCTATTGTTAAACATTGTGGAATCGATTAGAGTGTAGTATGCATCTTAGAAACACAATGCGGTGACTCTTATCCACTCAACTGATTTCTGTCAGCTGGAGCGTGGAGTCTCTATAGGCTAGGTTGACCCATAAACATTAGCCTTCCTTATTTTGCTTCGATTCTCTGGCAAATGGAAATAGAGTACAGACTGAAGTAAAACCAGATTTATGTGTTGCACGATACTGACCTTTTCTCAAGCTCTTATCCATCTTTTATTAGATGATTGATAGTATTAGTGATACTGAAAGTTGACATGCATTGTGGTGTTAAAACGAGCAGTCTTGCTTATCTCTGAATGCAAACATCTCAACCCTGCCTGTTTTATTTGGTTGTTTCTGCTTTGTCTCTCCAGTTTACCATTCAGTACTAAGATTAGTTAGTAGGCAATAGGCAAAAGGCAGCATACAAATTATAGCTGTTTACTTCTTGTATGTAGAACATTTTGCCGGATATGGACATGATTGTGACACTAACGTTTGCCATGTACTGGTTCTTGAGGCAAATGGGGATTAAGTGTGGCCTTGAACTAAGCAATTCGGTTCTAAGGGTTTTATCACATATTTAGAGTCCTTGGGTATTCTCATGTTTGGTAACACCCGGACCGTCAAAATGATCGTCCCCTATACTTCCAGTTGAGTTTAAGGCATCTAAGCTAGCGAGTTTTTGAGGCTAAAGAGTTAACTTAAGTTCCATAAAAGCCTAATTCTTGAGTGATTCCATGTGGCAGTATATTATAAATGTTAAGCTAAGTATTCCACTACGGCGTAACGTAAGTTATCTGCTTTGCTCTAGGAATGATGGTCCTTTTTACAATTAATTTTCTACTTCTTCTCCGTGTTCTGATATCAATTCGTTTCATATCACATATAGTTTAGTACTTATATCTTTGGATGGGTGCATTTGGGACTTTAGTTGGTTCGACTCTTCTCATCTTCTTTTATTTTTTTCCTTTTGTTTTTACTCCAAAGAATGATGTTTAGATGTTGGAAGATGAGCATTTTCTCTACAATTTTTGTTCCATTGTACCTGCTAAACCAGATTAACCCTGTGTGATCATCTCTAGGTCTTTACTTGTGCTTATTTTACCACAGGAAAAGTAGAGGTGTTCTTTTCTATACAGGAAACTCGCCTTTACTTGAGTTTATTTTACCACGTCATAAAGACTTGTTTTGTGTTACACTTTCTCTATTTTTCTTTATTTTTACTTGCATATCTAATTAAATGGAGGTCGGGCTCTAAGCTACACTTGCCTAGAAGCTCGAATGCAACATGAATGTGGTTTGCATATTCTTGCAGAAGCACTCACAAGTACCAAAATTTGGCAACTGGGAGAACGACGAAGATGTTGCCTATACTGCCTATTTTGAGAATGCTAGTAAGGGTAAGAAAGGCAGTAAAATGAATCCAAATGATTCTCAGGATCCTGAGGCAGAAGTAAAAGGTCAAAATGGAAGAGATGCAGTACGATCAAAAGATGAGCGTTTTTCCAGGAGAGATGATGTAGAACCGCGGAAATCAATTGACTCCCCATTGCACCCAGACACTATGGGTCAAAAAGCTCCAACTTACTCATCTCCACAACGATATGGTGTGAAATCTGTAGGCAACAAGTCAGAATCAGAAACAATGAAGGGTGCGGAAATCCCAACAGCAAGGCATGAACGTCGGCCAAGTAGAGAAGAGTATCTGAGGAGACCTACTGATTCCCCAATGCGCAATGAGAACACGGGGAGAAGAACTCCTATGGAATCACCTCATCATCGCTATGGCGGCTTAAGTGGTGGTGCTACACCTAAGCGGGTCTCTCAGCAAAGTGTGGGACCTGATCGCAGTATTGAGCACTCTCCGCTGCATCCACATTCCCAGGGAAGGGTTGGAAGCAAAGGTGGCGCATTTTCCTCTCCGTCGTGGGAAAGAAAGGTTTCATCTGAAGGTAATCAAGGTCTGGCTCCCTCTACACCTGGAAGATCCCGCTTGAGATCAGTTACGAAAGGTGATGACATGGTATGTCTTTTTGTCATTTTCTTGCTATCTACAACCAGCACAAGTATGATTATTAAGACACTTCTGCAGCGATAAACATAGGTCCCTTGCCAAACTCACAGATGAAATATATTCCTGTTCTCTATAATTGTTGTGAATTAGTCCAAGAAAACTTGTAGTGAGAACAAATAAAAGGTCTTCCATTTCAATGATGGCATCATTTATGATGCAACTCTTTTTCTTTTCGTGACGACTGCTGATTACCTTTCTGATGGGCGAACTTCATTTCCAAACCTTCATGATTGGTTATTTTACACTACTTTCCTATTTTACTTTTCCACCGACTTTGGGAATAATGTGTAAGCTTACTTCCAAATAAAAAAGAAAAGAAATCCAAAGAAAAGGAAAAAGAAAAAGGTAAGGAAATCTACTCCGTAGAAAAGGGGTGTGTCTGGGACGTATAGACTATCCCACAAGCCAATCTATCTATCTTAATGTACTCTTTGATCGTCAACGTATATGGCAACTACAAATAGGCGCATACTGCTTTCAGTAGTCATAGGAAGAGTATAACACAGTGTATTTGCAGTCTGATGACAGCCCTGCTGTTCCTAAATTTGGTGACTGGGATGAGAGTGATCCTGCATCAGCAGAAGGTTACTCACAAATATTTGACAAAGTGCGAGAGGAGAAGCAGACTGGTGCAGCAAAAGTACCTGGCACATCAACTGATACATCTTATTCCAACAGTCAGAAGCGATACGGAAATGACAGTGCAAAGGTATGTACATTTGGTTTTCTGATATGGCAATCCCCCTCCCCTAACCCCCTCTCCAGGGGCCGGCAGTGGCTTTTCCCCATCTTAGTGACTCGAACTCCCAACCTCATTGTATGTAACTCATTCGTGTTGGACCAAGCTTCTTTTAAATATGCTGCAGTCTAATTGTTTGCGAAACTCCAAAACATTGTCATAGTTTTTCCAGAGATTGTTGCAACAAGAAGATAATGAATGACCTCTTACTAATCACTCTAGTAAAGAATTACCCACATTTTTGTTTTACGTTTCTAACCTCTCATAGCCAATCCCAACTTGCGTGGGATCGAGACATAGTTTTTGTTTTCTGACCTCTCTGTTCTTCGCAGGGATGTTTGTGCTTTCCGTGGGGTCGGAGTTGACAGTTCTGAGGATGGGGGTTAACAAAAAGTACCTGGGGCATGTAGCCTATTTTAAAACATAAAACTTTGGTTATGTATAGGTTTAGGTCTGGTATATATGTTGTTCATTGTGTGCTTTGGATGAGAACTCTTTTTATTTAGAAAACGGCGAAGGGAAAGGAAAAAAACAAACAAATTGAAATGGACAGATAACATTCTTCTTTTTCTGGTATCCACATAGTGCTGGCTTCCTTTTCATAATGCAGAGTTATCATATTATTTTTACTGAGCCGAGGGTCTATTGAAAACAGCATCTCTATCTCTACGAGGTAGGGGTAAGGTCTTCGTACACACTATCCTCCCCAGACCCCACTACGTGGGATTACACTGGGTATGTTGTAGTTATCATAATGTTTTGTTAATCAAGCTTTTGCTCAACTGTTGCTCGGAGTCAGAAGCATATATGCAAGAAATGGAATTGTGTGGTATTTGAATTCTGTCTCTCCCTATCTGCAAACTTGTGGCCTGTGCCCTTATTTGTTACAGGAAAGATTTATCTGCACCGCGGTATTTACACCAAAACAAGGATAACATTACTTGTGTCTTCTACATATAATTTTATCACTTAATCATGGTTAATTAATGCGTAATTCTCACTCCTATTTATGACTCAACCATGGTTAATTAATGTGGTTGTGAAAATGTTTTCTTGGTTTGCTACCCTGGTAATTTTCATCTTAATGACCATGTGAAATTTTTAAATATCTAATTGACTGAATTACACAATGCTTCGCTGAGGTATCCATTAAGCAATTTTTATTGCTATTGCACCTCTTTTTTTATTCAGGCTAATAGAGTTGATTTTCTTTTTCTTTTTTCCCTTTTCTTTTCAACTAAAATGGAGCTGCATTAATGTTTGTATAGGGTAAACTGATAGAAAGAATCCCACACTATGTTTACATAAACAGGAAAAATTCTTTTTCCTAGGAAACATTTTTAGGACAGAGATAAAGCAACAGGATCTAGAGTATTTACATTTCCAGAAATAGCTAAAGCAAAACGAGCTAGAGTGTTTAATAAGAAAAGTTGCTTTTTTTTGGTTTAACCATCCGGTATTCTAGACCTATTGGCCCGACTAATTAGGACGTGTGTATGCCAAGGGAGAGGTAAAGCGCTTCTTAGAGAAGTTCTTTATTCTCATGTCTCGAACCTAAAACCTCTAGTTAAAGGTAGAGAGGCATATACACAAGTAACTAACGAACTCGTAGAGAATATTCTAACATTACAATGTGCATTATGTTTACAATCCATATGTTCCAAGAGCTTAAATCAAAAAAAAAAAAAATAAAAAAAAAATAACAACTTCTAGACAAATTAACCAATAAAATTTCAATACAGATTGTACTCATGTACTATATACACAATGAAATAGTTACCAGGAAGATCTCAAATCCAGCTGTCTTCTCACAATATCAGTGTACATTCAAAGAAGCATGTCAAATGTGATCCAAACTTAGAATAATTAGTGAAGTCAAAATAACACAAAGGAGTAAGCATTGCCTCTCTTTGCCAGCTTCAAATAGATGCCTCTCATCTTCAGAATTCTAAGTTTCCCTAGTAATGTTTTCTCCAATAAGAAATGCTTCTATCTTCCATGATGCAAGAAGAGATCACAACCCGAGGCAGACATAACGTTGTTCAACTGAACCCAGTAGTTTTACACGGCATATATATATANTAATTGCAAAAAATGGATTCAGTGGTTTAAATCATGCTTCCGCCTATGATCACAACCCTTGTGAAATTGTTTCATACCTCAACCGTAAGTTTCGGGGTTTCGCCTGTTGGCTTACTTTCTGTGTCCTTGGTTGTTTTTGGAAGGAGAATAATGCTTGTTGTTGGACTATTTCCCATGTCTTTGGTCTTGTGAAGGAGAAAAGTACCAGAGAGGATAGTTACAAAGCCACATAATTCTGTTATTATCTGTGTTGCATTCTGATGATCCCAGTCCTGCATCCCATAAAACAATTGTCAAGTTTGAAATATTTTTTAGATGTAACATTCAGATGAAATAAACAATCAAGAAAAAACAGAACATATTTACACTTTGGCTAGTTGATAGGCTGGTAATTATGCCACAGGTGGAACAAAATATGCCAATTACATTAAACTTCTTATTTTGCATAAGTTTATCTTCCAAACATATCCATTGTACACAATTAGAGAATTTTTTTCTTCTAAAACATCATTTACTGCCCTTAAAATCAGTGTTTTAAAAGGTGTTTTTGGGGAGAGCCCTGGGGCGAGGCACACCAAAAACGTCCCGAGGCAATGGTGTGGGGCGAAAGTCTCAAGAGGCATACGCCCAGCAATTCGGCGCGTACGCTCAGGCGTTTGAGACACGTTTTTGTAGTGAGGCGTAAGCCCCAGAGACTTTCAAATTAAAACAAAATTTGTTGAATAAGTCCTTCATATCCCAAATTCTCAAAAGTCAGCTTGTAATTACTCAAAAGTTTTAAAAAAGAACTGAAATGTATGAAATTTAAAAATCAAGAACTTTTTATTAATTAAAGCCCTAATTTATGGCCTTTCCCAATTCTTTATCCTGTTCGCTAGTCTGCTAATATCTCCCAAAACAATGAATATTTAATTTTTTTACAAATACAAAGAGAACTCCATTCTCCTTCATAGTAGCAAGTTCAAATTTTATATTGCAGGTTAATCATCCTATTTGTTCCTGCATGTAGAAAATTTTATTCTTTTCGACTCAAGTTACTTGTGCTTGTAAGTAGCGTATAATAATAATAATTATTTTGACAAGTTTTTTGCGGGGATGTAGCACATATATA